GAAAAACATGGTCCGGCGAGTCCGTCTGTCTGTGTGTCTGTCTGTCTGTCTGTATGTATGTATGTCCGTCTGTAGACCAAAATGTTGTTGACACAATAACTTTTAAAAATCTTATCTGATCGTTTTTAAATTTAACACACTTAAAGTTGGTGTAAAAATGAAGGTTAAGTTCGTTAACGAGCCATTTTCGTTGAAAACTACAAAAACTACGGTAGTTTCAAAATTTTAAAAACTCAATTTTTTTAAATTTCAGAATTTTTAACTTAATATTATTTTAGATTAGGAAAATACAAACAACTTTTCTTTACAACATTTTTTCATGAAAACTCAATTTTCGAAGTTATAGTCTCTTAAATGGTCAAAAAAACTAAAAAAATCTTAAAATAACACTGAAAATCGAATTTTTTGAAAGGAATAAAAGTCAGTTAACTGATTTTGACATATTCTCACCCTAAAATACTCGAAAAACATAATTGTACACAAAAAAGTCGTAATTTTCGGAAAAACCACTCTCTATTTATATTTTTTGTGCGCTTTTTTGAAAAAAATTCAATATTCCGACTCCATTATCTCCGACATTATTGCATATGCGATTTTGCTACCAGAGACTTTTTTTCTCGGTTTTGCATCATCTACAACTTTGCTGTTGACAACTTTTTGCTAAACCCTAAACTTTTCGAGTTATTTCCAAAAAACTAATTTTTATTACATTCTCATCACATGAGAAAGTATTAGTTTTGGTCGAAAATTGACTTTTGATAATTTTATGAAATCTTTACGTTTTGAGGTCCCCTGAACCCGAAAAACATGGTCCGGCGAGTCCGTCTGTCTGTGTGTCTGTCTGTCTGTCTGTCTATATGTATGTATGTCCGTCTGTAGACAAAAATGTTGTTGACACAATAACTTTTAAAAATCTTATCTGATCGTTTTTAAATTTAACACACTTGAAGTTGGTGTAAAAATAAAGGTTAAGTTCGTTAACGAGCCATTTTCGTTAAAACTACAAAAACTACGGTAGTTTCAAAATTTTGAAAACTCAATTTTTTCAAATTTCAGAATTTTTAACTTTATATTATTTTATATTAGGAAAATACAAACAACTTTTCTCTACAACATTTTTTCATGAAAACTCAATTTTCGAAGTTATAGTCTCTTAAATGGTCAAAAAAACTAAAAAAATCTTAAAATAACACTGAAAATCGAATTTTTTGAAAGGAATAAAAGTCAGTTAACTGATTTTGACATATTCTCACCCTAAAATACTCGAAAAACATAATTGTACACAAAAAAGTCGTAATTTTCAGAAAAACCACTCTCTATTTATATTTTTTGTGCGCTTTTTTGAAAAAAATTCAATATTCCGACTCCATTATCTCCGACATTATTGCATATGCGATTTTGCTACCACAGACTTTTTTTCTCGGTTTTGCATCATCTACAACTTTGCTGTTGACAACTTTTTGCTAAACCCTAAACTTTTCGAGTTATTTCCAAAAAACTAATTTTTATTACATTCTCATCACATGAGAAAGTATTAGTTTTGGTCGAAAATTGACTTTTGATAATTTTATGAAATCTTTACGTTTTGAGGTCCCCTGAACCCGGAAAAAACAATCCGGCTAGTCCGTCTGTCTGTGTTTCTGTGTGTCTGTGTGTCTGTCTGTCTGTATGTATGTATGTCCGTCTGTAGACCAAAATGTTGTTGACACAATAACTTTTAAAAATCTTATCTGATCGTTTTTAAATTTAACACACTTAAAGTTGGTGTAAAAATGAAGGTTAAGTTCGTTAACGAGCCATTTTCGTTAAAAACTACAAAAACTACGGTAGTTTCAAAATTTTGAAAACTCAATTTTTTCAAATTTGAGAATTTTTAACTTTATACTATTTTAGATTAGGAAAATACAAACAACTTTTCTCTACAACATTTTTTCATGAAAACTCAATTTTCGAAGTTATAGTCTTTTAAATGGTCAAAAAAACTAAAAAAATCTTAAAATAACACTGAAAATCGAATTTTTTGAAAGGAATAAAAGTCAGTTAACTGATTTTGACATATTCTCACCCTAAAATACTCGAAAAACATAATTGTACACAAAAAAGTCATAATTTTCGGAAAAACCACTCTCTATTTATATTTTTTGTGCGCTTTTTTGAAAAAAATTCAATATTCCGACTCCATTATCTCCGACATTATTGCATATGCGATTTTTCTACCAGAGACTTTTTTTCTCGGTTTTGCATCATCTACAACTTTGCTGTTGACAACTTTTTGCTAAACCCTAAACTTTTCGAGTTATTTCCAAAAAACTAATTTTTATTACATTCTCATCACATGAGAAAGTATTAGTTTTGGTCGAAAATTGACTTTTGATAATTTTATGAAATCTTTACGTTTTGAGGTCCCCTGAACCCGAAAAACATGGTCCGGCGAGTCCGTCTGTCTGTGTGTCTGTCTGTATGTATGTATGTCCGTCTGTAGACCAAAATGTTGTTGACACAATAACTTTTAAAAATCTTATCTGATCGTTTTTAAATTTAACACACTTAAAGTTGGTGTAAAAATGAAGGTTAAGTTCGTTAACGAGCCATTTTCGTTGAAAACTACAAAAACTACGGTAGTTTCAAAATTTTGAAAACTCAATTTTTTCAAATTTCAGAATTTTTAACTTTATATTATTTTAGATTAGGAAAATACAAACAACTTTTCTCTACAACATTTTTTCATGAAAACTCAATTTTCGAAGTTATAGTCTCTTAAATGGTCAAAAAAACTAAAAAAATCTTAAAATAACACTGAAAATCGAATTTTTTGAAAGGAATAAAAGTCAGTTAACTGATTTTGACATATTCTCACCCTAAAATACTCGAAAAACATAATTGTACACAAAAAAGTCGTAATTTTCAGAAAAACCACTCTCTATTTATATTTTTTGTGCGCTTTTTTGAAAAAAATTCAATATTCCGACTCCATTATCTCCGACATTATTGCATATGCGATTTTGCTACCAGAGACTTTTTTTTCGGTTTTGCATCATCTACAACTTTGCTGTTGACAACTTTTTGCTAAACCCTAAACTTTTCGAGTTATTTCCAAAAAACTAATTTTTATTACATTCTCATCACATGAGAAAGTATTAGTTTTGGTCGAAAATTGACTTTTGATAATTTTATGAAATCTTTACGTTTTGAGGTCCCCTGAACCCGGAAAAAATGGTCCGGCGAGTCCGTCTGTCTGTGTGTCTGTCTGTCTGTCTGTCTGTATGTATGTATGTCCGTCTGTAGACAAAAATGTTGTTGACACAATAACTTTTAAAAATCTTATCTGATCGTTTTTAAATTTAACACACTTAAAGTTGGTGTAAAAATAAAGGTTAAGTTCGTTAACGAGCCATTTTCGTTGAAACTACAAAAACTACGGTAGTTTCAAAATTTTGAAAACTCAATTTTTTCAAATTTCAGAATTTTTAACTTTATATTATTTTATATTAGGAAAATACAAACAACTTTTCTCTACAACATTTTTTCATGAAAACTCAATTTTCGAAGTTATAGTCTCTTAAATGGTCAAAAAAACTAAAAAAATCTTAAAATAACACTGAAAATCGAATTTTTTGAAAGGAATAAAAGTCAGTTAACTGATTTTGACATATTCTCACCCTAAAATACTCGAAAAACATAATTGTACACAAAAAAGTCGTAATTTTCGGAAAAACCACTCTCTATTTATATTTTTTGTGCGCTTTTTTGAAAAAAATTCAATATTCCGACTCCATTATCTCCGACATTATTGCATATGCGATTTTGCTACCAGAGACTTTTTTTCTCGGTTTTGCATCATCTACAACTTTGCTGTTGACAACTTTTTGCTAAACCCTAAACTTTTCGAGTTATTTCCAAAAAACTAATTTTTATTACATTCTCATCACATGAGAAAGTATTAGTTTTGGTCGAAAATTGACTTTTGATAATTTTATGAAATCTTTACGTTTTGAGGTCCCCTGAACCCGAAAAACATGGTCCGGCGAGTCCGTCTGTCTGTGTGTCTGTCTGTCTGTATGTATGTATGTATGTATGTATGTCCGTCTGTAGACAAAAATGTTGTTGACACAATAACTTTTAAAAATCTTATCTGATCGTTTTTAAATTTAACACACTTAAAGTTGGTGTAAAAATAAAGGTTAAGTTCGTTAACGAGCCATTTTCGTTAAAACTACAAAAACTAAGGTAGTTTCAAAATTTTGAAAACTCAATTTTTTCAAATTTCAGAATTTTTAACTTTATATTATTTTATATTAGGAAAATACAAACAACTTTTCTCTACAACATTTTTTCATGAAAACTCAATTTTCGAAGTTATAGTCTCTGTTTGGGTTTCGAAGTGAACCACGGGTGTCCTGCCGCCCGGGGGGCTGGCGCCCTGATGTCTATCGACTGTGGAAGGGGCCGGCCAGGCGATTCCCCCTCTATTCGAGTTCTTCTCTGAAATTCGGGAGTCAGTGAACTGCCTGAGGCATTACTCTTAGTCTTCTTACTTCAGACGGACGCTCGGGCAGATCTTGTGAAAACTTATTTAAAATTTCTATCACTCTTTTTTTTTCTCGTTATAAAGTGTTCTCGTTTGGTTTTTCTTCACATTTTTTATATTTAGTTCGCGTTTTCTTCTTTGTACACGGGGCTGTCCCCCCTCTCAGACAACCATCTGGGTTGTCCAGCATGGTGTGTCGTTAGTTTAACTTTTTTTTCATTTTGTCCGTTCATTTTTCAGTTTTTCTAAATTAATTCATTAAACTCTAACAGAATTTTGGTGCATCGGCCGGGAATTTGCCTCTATTCCCCCGTTAGTCTTGGACTAAAGAGCAAATTAATAAGGGCAAAAGCAAAAAAGGGTATCTTATCCTTCGCCGAACGAGAAGGAACACACGAGGGGGATAGGGGCAAAGGCAAAAAGGATACCCTATCTTTTCCTGAAAACATCCTCACCGTTGTCTCGCAACAAGATGGCTTCAACCTTGAAAAAACTATTGTCGCAACAGGCCACTCGCCTCGACACAATAAAAAGAACTATCACACGTAGAAAACAGGCATCGAAGGAAGGAACCCTATCCATTCCTCTTCTTAAGTCTAGGTTGAACCAGTTAGAAATGTACTGGAACGAGGCCCGAGAAGCTCACCTAGACATCGTGAGTACTGCGGACTCTGAAAAAGAGCCCTATGTTACTGAACAACAATTTGAAAACATGGAGGTCGAATATGAAGCCGAAACCGATGATTTAGCTTCACTACTACACGACTCAACAACATCCACTCAACATAACGAGCCCTCCAATCTACATACAGGCGGACCAATTTCAAGCAAGTTGCGCCTGCCGAAGTCTACATTACCGCAATTCTCTGGGAAGTACGAAGATTGGGGAAACTTTTCAGATTTATTCCTCTCCATGATAGATGAGGACAAAACGCTGCCTAATGTCGTAAAACTGCAATACTTGAAGCAATGTTTAACCGATGAGGCTGCCGACTTTGTGAAGGACATCAAAGTAGAGGAAGTAAATTACAAGCCCACATGGGAGGCATTAAGGGGCAGATACTGCAACGTACGCCTGCTCATACATACTCACTTCAACACCCTTTACAATCTACCCAAACTACAAAGCGAATCGGTAGCAGACCTCAAAATACTCATCGACAAAACTAGACAAGCTGTCCGCTCTCTGAAAAACATCGGAAGAGAAATCATCGGTGATTGGCTGGTTTACCACACGAGCGAACGGCTGGATCCAGAGTTGCGCCTTCAATGGGAAAACTACCTCAGCACCCGGAGTTCGAAACCCCCCAATTCGGAAGGCAACGACACGGAACCCGATGATTATCCCACATTCCAAGCTTTGGCAAAATTTATCGACGATCGAATAATCACCCTAAACATGACAGACTCGCATCGCTCAACGACAACCACCAACTCGCTCGCATCAAGTTCAAAAAAACAAGGACAGAAAAACATCAAGAGGTCTTTTCACAACTCAGAAAAGAGCGGACCTTCAAACCGGAAATGTCCAAAGTGTTCCGAAGAACACTACATAGGTCGCTGCCCGACCTTTAAACAACTTAGCACATTGGAGCGCCTTAACGAAGCACGACGAATGAAACTCTGTTTTAATTGTCTAGGCCTTCACCAAATCAAGGACTGCACTTCCAAGGGACGCTGCTTCGAATGTCATAAGCAACATCACAGCCTTCTGCACAGGCCATCTAGAGACGAAAAATCCGAGCACGAAAAGAAGGCAAAAGGCCCTCACCAGACACAAAGTCCACCGGCTAGTGCAGCATTCTCCGTCCGTACGAATACAACGTCCATCAGCAGATCCAAACGGACAATTCTTCTGGCAACAGCCTGCGCTGTTCTTGAGGGACCAAAAGGCCAAATCAAGGCCCGTGCCATGCTGGATCAAGGATCCGAGGTATCCTTCATTTCACAGGATGTCGTAAGGCAATTGGGACTATCATGCTACCCCGCAAATGTCACTATCCTGGGATTGGGAAACCACAAAGTGGGGGAGGCAAAAACAGTTGCCACGATGACCCTAAGGTCCGTGCACCAACCCGACTTCCATCTCGAATTCCAAGCTTATGTGGTCCCGAAACTTACATCAAGGCTTCCAACAAGAAGAATAGTGGAGATCGATCTAGATTGGCTCGGAGCAGAAAAGTTGGCTGATCCTCTGTACTACCAACCTGGAACAATCCAACTTATAATCGGTGCCGATTACTATGGACAGTTATTAGTACCAGGGCTGTACCAGATTGAAAACCCAAAAGCAACAGCCCAAAAAACAGCTCTGGGCTGGGTTGTTTCGGGAACAGTTCAAACCGAGTCTAAACGGCGGGCGGAACCAACTTCACCAATAACAGTTTCGTCAATGCATTGCTTACCGTCAGAAAATATTCAAGATCAACTACAACGCTTTTGGGAATTCGAAACAATCCCAAATAACAAAGTTATCAAGCCAGACGACGAACGTTGTGAAAAACATTTCGTCAATACACATACACGAACCCCAGAAGGCCAGTACATGGTCCGTCTTCCCATTAAGTGTCAACCTCCAGAGGCTGCGACTGAAACAAGAAAAATGGCTGCAAGCAGCCTAATTGGAACAGAGCGACGATTTAAACAAGATATCAAGTTATCCGAAGCCTACTGCGAGTTCATGGATAATTACGAATCAGACGGCCACATGGAGAGAGTTCCAGAGGAGGAATTGAACAACCCAAAGGCTTGGTACATACCACACCACGCAATAATCCAACAATTAAACAACTTGGGCTGGAAATTAAGAGTGGTGTTTAACGCATCAAGGTTAACCTCTCAGAAAAAATGCCTTAATGATTTCCTGCATGCCGGACCTGCTCTACAGAACGACATTGGCCTCATACTATTAAACTGGCGCAGACACAGAGTCGTTTTCACCGCGGACATAGTAAAAATGTTCCGCCAGATCCTCGTCCATCCGGAAGATCGCGACCTACAACGGATTCTATGGCGATCAACTCCGGAGAAACCCATCGAAGAATATCGGCTCTGCACTGTCACATATGGCACGGCGTGCGCGCCATATCTCGCCATCCGCACCTTGAAACAACTTTCGATCGATGAAGGAGCTCAATTTCCACTTGGAGCGGACTGTTTGTTAGATAACACCTATGTCGACGATATCTTCGACGGCGATGATGACGTCCTTCAAGCCGAGAAGAAACGAGATCAAGTGATAGATCTCTGTGCGAAGGCGAACCTTAAGTTAGATAAATGGGCAGTAAACCACCCCGATCTACATCCTTCATCTAGCGCACCACTATCCTCGGAGATCATCGACAAAAACACAGTCTTTAAGACTCTGGGGATACTGTGGGCTTCAAGAGTCGATTACTTTGCTTTCAACAACCCTCAAAAAACACACATCTCAGGGGATGCGACAAAAAGAATGATTTCCTCTAGCATTGCCCAGCTATACGACCCTTTGGGCTGGCTCGCACCTATCACAGTGGTCGCCAAGATCATGCTCCAGGACCTCTGGATACTCAGAATTGACTGGGATGCTGAACTCCCTACCGAAGTACAAGAGCGCTGGACGCAATATTATCAATCCCTAGTTGGATTATCAGGTATCAAGATACCACGATGGCTAGGAAGCTTTTCGAACTCGCTGATCGAGCTCCATGGATTCTCAGACGCATCCACTCGAGCCTACGCAGCAGTAGTCTACGTGCAAGTCCTTAAATACAAAGAGGACGGTCAAGTTACACTTCTTGCAGCGAAGTCCAAAGTCGCTCCTATTAAGACTGCAACAATACCAAACCTAGAACTCTGTGGAGCTGCTCTCCTAGTAAAGCTCTTAAAATACGTTAGACGGCTGACCTTTCTAAATGCTGTGCCTGTGACGGCTTGGTGTGACAGTCAAGTCACCCTAGCCTGGATCAACCAACATCCATCTAAATGGAAAACCTTCATTGCGAACCGTGTCTCCTACATTCAGACTGAACTGCCTTCGGTGAAATGGAGACACGTGCCTAGCCAAGAAAATCCGGCTGACCTAGCGACACGAGGTCTTCAACCAGAGACCCTACGAGAAAATAGACTTTGGTGGAATGGTCCACAATGGCTGTCCCTATCACCGGCTAATTGGCCCTCTCAACTTCAACGTCCCGATACCGAAAATGCGGAAGTAAAAGCGTTCCTCACAGTCAAGAATGAAGTCGAAATTGAGATCCTCTCAAGATTCTCCTCTTTGCAACGGCTTATTAGAGTTGTAGCATTCTGCTTGAGAGTGTTCAAGAACTATAAAGCAAAGGGATCTGAAAACTCTTTCAAGGATACAGTCCTCTCCTCGACCGAATTGGACTCCGCCAAATCGACGGTCTTAGCGATAGCGCAGAGGAAAACATTCTCTGAGGAGATAGACTTACTCAAAAACGCGAAAAGCATTCCTAAACATAGCAAACTCCGCAATCTCAACCCCTTTTTGGATAAAGCGGGAATCCTTCGAGTAGGTGGACGTTTGAAACATTCCTCACTAGCCTTCTCCTCGAAGCATCCACCGATTCTACCAAAAGATTCACCACTGACACCCTTGTATGTAAGCTTAGCGCACAAGGTCTCGGGTCATGGAGGACCAAAATTAACCCTGAGCATCCTTCGAAACTTAGTGTGGATTGTCGGCGCAACCTCACTAGTGAGAAAACTGGTCCGCAAGTGTGTGCCCTGTCACCGAATTAAACCTCGCTTTCCCACGCAGCTCATGGGTGATCTCCCACCCGCAAGAATAGAACCGGCTCGTCCGTTTACGAATTGCGGACTAGACTAAGCTGGACCTTTTCAACTGCGGGCCACTAAAGGCCGTGGAATCAAATCCTACAAAGGATACATTGTAGTTTTCGTTTGCTTCGCTACGAAGGCGATTCATTTGGAAGCGGTGAGCGACATGACGACTTCAACCTTTCTAGCAGCCTATCGCAGATTTACAGGACGAAGAGGTCTTTGTCGACGATTGTACAGCGACAACGGAACAACATTCCAAGGTGCCGATCGGGAACTAAGATCCATGTTTAAAAGGGGGTCCACTTTCTACATGGAAGCCACAGCGGCTCTCGCAAACGACGGAGCGACATGGAGCTTCATCCCCCCAAACTCACCTCACTTCGGCGGACTCTGGGAGGCCGGAGTGAAATCGGCAAAGCACCATCTGGCTCGACTGATGATTTCGCGGACATTTACCTTCGAAGAGTTTAGCACCCTCCTTACTGAAATAGAAGCCTGCTTGAACTCAAGGCCTTTATGCGCCATGTCAACCGATCCAGAGGAGCTTAACGCTCTGACCCCCGCACACTTTCTCATCGGTAGCACATTGGCAATAATTCCTGACAAAGAACCACCGAACGTACCTGACAACCTATTAAAGCGCTACGAACTTATTCAAAAAATAAGGAACAACTTTTGGAGAAGATGGTCCCAGGAGTACCTACAGTCGCTGCAAGTCAGAGGGAAATGGCAGCAACCTTCGGACAATTTCAGTGTCGATCAGTTAGTGCTCATCCAGGACAATCGATACCCCCCCGCGAAGTGGCCTTTAGGAAGAGTGATCGCGGTTCATCCGGGGGCTGACGGGATGGTCCGAGTGGCTACAGTGAAAACAATTCACGGAACTTATCGTCGCCCTATCGTGCGACTTAGCCCAATACCGCCACCTCATTAAACAGGAAAAAGTGTCATTTGTCCTGCGGACAAGGCGGGCGGGAATGTTTGGGTTTCGAAGTGAACCACGGGTGTCCTGCCGCCCGGGGGGCTGGCGCCCTGAAGTCTATCGACTGTGGAAGGGGCCGGCCAGGCGATTTCCCCTCTATTCGAGTTCTTCTCTGAAATTCGGGAGTCAGTGAACTGCCTGAGGCATTACTCTTAGTCTTCTCACTTCAGACGGACGCTCGGGCAGATCTTGTGAAAACTTATTTAAAATTTCTATCACTCTTTTTTTTTCTCGTTATAAAGTGTTCTCGTTTGGTTTTTCTTCACATTTTTTATATTTAGTTCGCGTTTCCTTCTTTGTACACGGGGCTGTCCCCCCTCTCAGACAACCCTCTGGGTTGTCCAGCATGGTGTGTCGTTAGTTTAACTTTTTTTTCATTTTGTCCGTTCATTTTTCAGTTTTTCTAAATTAATTCATTAAACTCTAACAGTCTCTTAAATGGTCAAAAAAACTAAAAAAATCTTAAAATAACACTGAAAATCGAATTTTTTGAAAGGAATAAAAGTCAGTTAACTGATTTTGACATATTCTCACCCTAAAATACTCGAAAAACATAATTGTACACAAAAAAGTCGTAATTTTCGGAAAAACCACTCTCTATTTATATTTTTTGTGCGCTTTTTTGAAAAAAATTCAATATTCCGACTCCATTATCTCCGACATTATTGCATATGCGATTTTGCTACGAGAGACTTTTTTTCTCGGTTTTGCATCATCTACAACTTTGCTGTTGACAACTTTTTGCTAAACCCTAAACTTTTCGAGTTATTTCCAAAAAACTAATTTTTATTACATTCTCATCACATGAGAAAGTATTAGTTTTGGTCGAAAATTGACTTTTGATAATTTTATGAAATCTTTACGTTTTGAGGTCCCCTGAACCCGAAAAACATGGTCCGGCGAGTCCGTCTGTCTGTGTGTCTGTCTGTATGTATGTATGTCCGTCTGTAGACAAAAATGTTGTTGACACAATAACTTTTAAAAATCTTATCAGATCGTTTTTAAATTTAACACACTTAAAGTTGGTGTAAAAATAAAGGTTAAGTTCGTTAACGAGCCATTTTCGTTGAAAGTACAAAAACTACGGTAGTTTCAAAATTTTGAAAACTCAATTTTTTCAAATTTCAGAATTTTTAACTTTATATTATTTTAGATTAGGAAAATACAAACAACTTTTCTCTACAACATTTTTTCATGAAAACTCAATTTTCGAAGTTATAGTCTCTTAAATGGTCAAAAAAACTAAAAAAATCTTAAAATAACACTGAAAATCGACTTTTTTGAAAGAAATAAAAGTCAGTCAATTGATTTTGACATATTCTCACCCTAAAATACTTGAAAAACATACTTGAACACAAAAAACTCGTAATTTTCAGAAAAATCACTCTCTATATATATTTTTTGTGCACTTTTTTGATAAAAAATCAATATTCCGACTTCATTATCTCCGACGTTCTTGCATATGCGATTTTGCTACCAGAGACTTTTTTTCTCGGCTTTGCATTAGCTACAACTTTGCTGTTGACAACTTTTTGCCCAACGCAAAACTTATCGAGTTATTTTTTAAAAACTGTCAAAAAACTAAATTTTTTACATTCTCATCACATGAGAAGGTTAAATTAGTTTTGGTCGAATTTTGACTTTTGCTAATTTTATGAAATCTTTACGTTTTGAGGTGCCCTGAGTCCGAAAAACATAGTCCGGCGAGTGCGTCTGTCTGTGGGTCTGTCTGTCTGTCTGTCTGTCCGTCTGTAGACGGTAATATGTTGTTCCCACGATAACTCTTGAAAAACTTATCGGATCGTTTTTAAATTCAACACACTTAAACTTGGTGTAAAAATGAAGGCTAAGTTCGTTAACCAGCCATTTTCGTTGAAAACTACAAAAACTACGGTAGTTTCAAAATTTTGAAAAATCAATTTTTTTTTAAATTTCAGAATTTTTAACTTTATTTTATTTTAGATTAGAAAAATACAAACAACTTTTCTCTATAACATTTTTTCATAAAAACTCAATTTTCGAAGTTATAGTCTCTTAAATGGTCAAAAAAACTTAAAAAATCCTAAAATAACACTAAAAATCGAATTTTTTTAAAGGAATAAAAATCAGTCAATTGATTTTGACATATTCTCACCCTAAAATACTTGAAAAACATACTTGAACACAAAAAACTCGTAATTTCCAGAAAAATCACTCTCTATATATATTTTTTGTGCACTTTTTTGATAAAAAATCAATATTCCGACTTCATTATCTCCGACGTTCTTGCATATGCGATTTTGCTACCAGAGACTTTTTTTCTCGGTTTTGCATCATCTACAACTTTGCTGTTGACAACTTTTTGCTAAACCCTAAACTTTTCGAGTTATTTCCAAAAAACTAATTTTTATTACATTCTCATCACATGAGAAAGTATTAGTTTTGGTCGAAAATTGACTTTTGATAATTTTATGAAATCTTTACGTTTTGAGGTCCCCTGAACCCGGAAAAAATGGTCCGGCTAGTCCGTCTGTCTGTGTGGCTGTCTGTCTGTCTGTCTGTATGTATGTATGTCCGTCTGTAGACCAAAATGTTGTTGACACAATAACTTTAAAAAATCTTATCTGATCGTTTTTAAATTTAACACACTTAAAGTTGGTGTAAAAATGAAGGTTAAGTTCGTTAACGAGCCATTTTCGTTGAAAACTACAAAAACTACGGTAGTTTCAAAATTTTGAAAACTCAATTTTTTCAAATTTGAGAATTTTTAACTTTATACTATTTTAGATTAGGAAAATACAAACAACTTTTCTCTACAACATTTTATCATGAAAACTCAATTTTCGAAGTTATAGTCTTTTAAATGGTCAAAAAAACTAAAAAAATCTTAAAATAACACTGAAAATCGAATTTTTTGAAAGGAATAAAAGTCAGTTAACTGATTTTGACATATTCTCACCCTAAAATACTCGAAAAACATAATTGTACACAAAAAAGTCGTAATTTTCGGAAAAACCACTCTCTATTTATATTTTTTGTGCGCTTTTTTGAAAAAAATTCAATATTCCGACTCCATTATCTCCGACATTATTGCATATGCGATTTTGCTACGAGAGACTTTTTTTCTCGGTTTTGCATCATCTACAACTTTGCTGTTGACAACTTTTTGCTAAACCCTAAACTTTTCGAGTTATTTCCAAAAAACTAATTTTTATTACATTCTCATCACATGAGAAAGTATTAGTTTTGGTCGAAAATTGACTTTTGATAATTTTATGAAATCTTTACGTTTTGAGGTCCCCTGAACCCGAAAAACATGGTCCGGCGAGTCCGTCTGTCTGTGTGTCTGTCTGTATGTATGTATGTCCGTCTGTAGACAAAAATGTTGTTGACACAATAACTTTTAAAAATCTTATCAGATCGTTTTTAAATTTAACACACTTAAAGTTGGTGTAAAAATAAAGGTTAAGTTCGTTAACGAGCCATTTTCGTTGAAAGTACAAAAACTACGGTAGTTTCAAAATTTTGAAAACTCAATTTTTTCAAATTTCAGAATTTTTAACTTTATATTATTTTAGATTAGGAAAATACAAACAACTTTTCTTTACAACATTTTTTCATGAAAACTCAATTTTCGAAGTTATAGTCTCTTAAATGGTCAAAAAAACTAAAAAAATCTTAAAATAACACTGAAAATCGACTTTTTTGAAAGGAATAAAAGTCAGTCAATTGATTTTGACATATTCTCACCCTAAAATACTTGAAAAACATACTTGAACACAAAAAACTCGTAATTTTCAGAAAAATCACTCTCTATATATATTTTTTGTGCACTTTTTTGATAAAAAATCAATATTCCGACTTCATTATCTCCGACGTTCTTGCATATGCGATTTTGCTACCAGAGACTTTTTTTCTCGGCTTTGCATTAGCTACAACTTTGCTGTTGACAACTTTTTGCCCAACGCAAAACTTATCGAGTTATTTTTTAAAAACTGTCAAAAAACTAAATTTTTTACATTCTCATCACATGAGAAGGTTAAATTAGTTTTGGTCGAATTTTGACTTTTGCTAATTTTATGAAA